CTTATCAAGACAGAGAGGTGCTGGATAAAATCCTGGTTGTTGGTGGTATATGACATGCAAGTAAAAGGCAGGATGATGGTATTATGTGGGTCAGGCACCACGTAACATTCCTCCTCTAAATGGTCCAAACTACAGAGACAGAACAAATTACATTAAGAATAAGGTTGAAAGCAGCCATGTTAAGACTCGTTCAATTTTTTTTTTTTTTTTTTTTAAATCAAGACTGAGAATCTAATCTAGTAAATCAGTTTGAGAAAGAGAAAATAAAGCAGTCTGCTTACAGTGTCCGCTAGTTTGGACAGCATCTTTGAACTCCATAGCCATCAGTTCTTACAGCAAAACTTAACATTTCTTACAGAAAACCCTTCACCCTCTATTTCTGAACCCTAATAATTCCATCACTGAAGGTTTAACTCAGGGGGACAGTCTATTTTGCCCCCAATGCTACCCCTTGCATGGGGCCAGTCCACAGGCCAGATCTGGTAAATTTACCTCCCCTCCTCCCCCTCCCTAGCTCCCAGCATACCTGATCCAGTGACTGCTCCAGCCAGTCTGTTACCCATGCTGCACACGGCATGGGTCCCAGAGCAGTCAGAATGGGCACTGTGTGCAGTGCAGATTGACCGGAGTGACAACTATGCTGCACATGGTGGACACCCTGGCTTGACTGCATTGCATACAGTGCCTGCTCTGAGAGGTGGGCTGCCCACAGCACCTACTCCAGCAAGTCACAAGACCTGCACTGTATGCAGCAATCACAGTCCAGGACTGGCTGGAGCAAGTGCCACATGTGGTACAGGCCAGAGCTGCTGGAATGGTGCCAAATGCAGCACAGGCTGGACTGCACCACACAGTGCCCATTCTGGCCACACCAGATCTGTGCCACATGTAGCATTGGTTCAGACTGGATAGAGAAGTGGGCTGAATCAAGTATGCTGGGAGAGGGAAAGGGGTAGGGGAGAGGTTCCACTGGCTGGATCTGACCTGCAGACTGGTCCCACATCACATCTGGCCCAGGAGGCAGGATGAGTTTGACACCCCTAGTTTAATTAGTGTTAAAGCAAAATAAAAGCCTATATACCTCTGTCCACTCTGCTTTCTAGCTGCTGCTACAATTACAAATACATCTTACAGTTCAAAGAGTGAAAGCATTTATCATGAAGTTTTCAGTCTGAGAAAAAGAAATGCAATGTTCCTTTTACTATAAACATGTAGAATTTAAAACATGCAAACTGTTATAGACAGATTTATATTAGAAGTTAGATGTCTCACCACATGTGATGATCTTTTCCATATTCTTTGGATGAGTCCAAGAGAGAAGTAGGTGCCTAAGGAGAGGAATAAGTGTCAGGGAGATATTATTACTCATACTTAAAAGGACAGAGGTGTCACGCTTCACTGAATATAAATGACTGAATCAGTGCTTAATTCTTGAAGTGTTTACAGTCTGGTCATGAAAATAAGTGGTTGAATCCCAAAAGGTCTGGTTGTTGTGACTGGTATTACTTATTTTCATTTAAAGGACCTTATCTGAGGAAATTAAAATCTTTTATCAACATTACTTCAGCCAAAACACCCTATCTAGTAGACAAGGACACAACTAGGGGTGCACCAATACACATTTTGGGGGGTTGATACAGATAGCCAATACTTAAGGAGGCATATCAGCCAATACTGAACCAATATCCGATACAGCTGCAATCAGGTGGTAAGTCTGTTGTGGTGGAAGAAGAGAGGGGCGGGAAGAGGCGTTGGGGGTGGGGACAGATCAACACCCCCCGCAGTGAAGGAGGGGGCAGGTGCAGGGGCGTGGGACAGAGGTGCAGTTCATGGGGTGGGGGCAGCTTCCACCCCTGCTTGCACCCTGGGAGGGTTGGGGCAGAGGGGCCTGTGCCCCATGATCTGTGTGGCATGGGGCAGGTTGCCGCTGTGGGGTGAAGTCAGAACTGGCGCTGCGCAGGGCTTTTCTTGCTGGGGGCTGGGCTCGGAGCAGGCTCTGGCGGTGCTGGGAGGAGGCTGCAGCCACCCCAAATTTTGCCGCAGCTCCGCTCCTAGCCCCACAGCACTGCCTAGTGCAGCCGTGACTGAATGCCTCACCTCCACCCACATGCTGGGACAAGCCAGGGCTGTGCCGGGTGGTGGGTGCCGATGCGGGGCTGGGAGCAGAGCTGCAGCTAAATTTAAAGGAGGATGCAGCCACCCACAGTGCCTCATTGGGCTGATATCCAATATAGACAATTTTCTTTATATAGGTACTGATCTGATATCAGATTTATGTATTGGTGCACGTCTAGAAATCCTTCCCTCATCCCCAGCAACTATATAATTATGTATGTATATGTGTGTGAAAACTAGTTTGAGATCTTGTGATGAAGCATATTAAATGGTGAAAAGTTTTTCTGCAGACAGCACACAGCTAACTGAGATATAGAACTAAAGTAGCTTCCTGAAAACCACCCTGACCAAACTCTGCCACTGCAACCAGACAAATGGGACAGAAGCTCCAATTCTCCAAACTTAGCAACCAGGTTGACATTAGATGGTGATGGGATACTAAGATTGGGTCAATCTTAATATCCACATGCAGCACGGGTCTCAGACTGGCTGTAGCAGTCCCTGGATCAGGCATGCTGGAAGCTGGGGAGAGGAAGAAGGGGAGGTCCATGTGCCAGATCCAACCTATGGATGGGTCCCATGCAAGGGGCAGTACTGGGAGCCAAATGGTGGGGCTCTGTGAGTTGTATGTTTGAGTTAAACCGTCAATGATGGAATTACTAGGGTTCAAGAATAGAGGATGGAGGGTTTTGCTGTAAGAAATGTAAGGTTTTATGTAAGGCTTAGACTGAAGTGTAAGGTTTAGCCTTAGACTGAAACATTTAATTCAAATACTGTAATGAAAGCTCAAGACATACTGATTCTCTGTAACTCCATATGTGGACTGTCTCAGACATATTAAATGTACCAGCCCCCCTAAAGCTATGTGGGGGAAGAGAAGATTGACAGTAAGAGCTTTTGTGACTGAGAGCTGTCAGTTGCTATAAATTAGGTCCTTTGCTCAGTCTGCTAGTCACCAAAGTTTTGAGTTTGCCATTAAGCTCTTGGATACTTTTCTCAAAAAGTTGAGAATTCTGACTTTGCATCCAATTTATTAAAAATGTTCAAAATAAAAACTGACTATTGTAACTGCAACCTCTTAATTTACAAGCATTTATAAGTTATCTTTGCTGTAAGAAATCATTTTATATTAGAAAGCCTTTACTATGAATTACTACATGAAGATTCTGAAAAAGAACAATAACTTAAAGGCAATAATTTTTTTACAAAACATACATACCTGACTTCTAAATCTAGAGTCTGGTATTTCAAAGCATCTCTGGGGAACTGTATGTTCTGGTGGAGTCAAACTACTGGACTGCAAGAAGCTGCTGGCTAGGGCTGTTTCTTTGAAAGTTATTTCTAGAACAAATGCAAATAACTCTTAAAAATGTTGAGCAAAACCAAAGCATAGCATCTAACTTGTCATACAAATGTAATTGAAGTATTTCAACAAGACTTTACTTCAAATAATGAATACAAGAGTGTGGCTTCATCTAACAGGCTGTGCAGACAACAGGAAATATAGTTACACGATGAATTAAGTCTAATTACAGATGCATCAGCACCTGCATTAAGCATTGTACCAAGAACAGGAATAAAATCCCATTGCTAATGTTTGACGTTAGCCAAAATATTTGGCATAATAATTCTGCAGATGACTAGAGAATATTTTAAAATAAGTACTGGTTGGCAAAGACAGCATTTGAAAATGCAAGGGTTCCCACAGCTGTTCTTCAAAAATCAGTAACTTCAAATGCAACAATACTTGGTTAAAAAAAATTGCTGACATCATAGAATCATAGAGAAGCAGGGCTGGAAGGGACCTCGAGAGGTCTAGTCTGACACCTACCCGAGGCAGGATCATCCCTAATCCATACCATCCTATACAAATCCATAATCTAACTTCTTCGTGGAAGTACCATCAACTGTGAACAACACAAGACCTAACACCCTAACCTGCCAAAGGTAAAGCAGAGGGAACACTGCAGCCAACAACCTACTTGTGTAAAAGGTTGTTAATACACACCCAAACTGAGGGCCTCAGCCCTACTACATAGGAAGGCAAAAACCCCTACAGTCCATACCAATCTGACCATGGGGTAAAATTCCTTCCTGACCCCAAATATGGTCATCAGTCTGATCCTGAACAGAGAGGCAAGGCCCTCTAGCCAGAAACCTCTGGCTTTAAGTCTCAGCAGGAATTATATTGTGTGCTTAGCAGACAGCTGTGGTGAACTGCTGGTGGAAGTTTGCTAATTTAGATATAGTTTAGCTGTCTGAGACAAACTTTTCTGCTTTAGCTGATGCTGAGAAGTCCCCCACATACACACATATACACTTCATATATATTACAGCAGCCTAGAAAAGCAGATTCAAAAGGCCCAGCCCAGCAGCATGATACATACATGATTACCTTGGCTGGAGTTGACAGGATGAGGCAGAGAAGGAGAGGAAGGATGAACAGTAAAAGTAGTACAGTTTGATTTGGAGCTGGCAGCAATGTGCCTGTGGTCCTCACTGATCTAATAAAGAAAGTATGTAGTGGTTAAGAAAAAGAGGAACTACAACTACTGAAAACAAACATACAGATCCTGAATGAAAAGAAAAAGCACACAATCTGTTTTACTGTGAAAAAAATCAATTTAGTTCACATCCTTAGAATCTATACTTTAATTAAAAGAGGATACGGAAAACCTATAAAGGATGCATTTTGCAAAATGCCTTTTTAATTATACTGATCAGGTATTGCATCCAAATTAGGAAATTGCAGTACAGTACCAGTCCTGCTGATTTTTTAAATGCCAAATCAGGACAGTTCAATTATAAATTGGTCCCAAAGAACATCCTTGTAACTGCAAACCTGAAATACCAGTGAGTAGCAGTCAGACTTGTAACATTCACTTTTGTCATTCTTTTATTTTTCCCCACCTGTGCCAACAGGAAAAGATTCTGGGTAAATTAATACTATATAGCCAACGTTTCAAATGGAAGCATCACTGGGCTAGTCCACAGCTGCAGTACTCCATCAAAACTGGTCACTCTGTATATTCTACTTATTCTTTTTGCTCCATGTTCCTTAGGCCACCACAGAAAGTAAGGCCAAGTTACTGCACTTTAACTGAAGAGTCGAAAAAACTGCAATGCTACATTTAAGATGCACCATCCAGAAAAGAAGCAAGCAAAGAAAGAATTAAGCAAGCCAAATAGGTTCAAGAGTAGTAAGACATGGACTGCACAAGCCTTTTTCAAGAACTATATTATCCATAACAAGTATCATGCAAGTAAAGTTACTTGCCCCTCCTCTTCCCTCTTAAAAACTCACCTTTTTGTCAGAATTGTTCAGTTTGTATTTGGCCTCCTTTGCTTTTTGTATAGCTTTCAGCACCTCTACAGTATCAAGTTCTTTTTCTGTGGTAACAACATTATCCAAACAGACCTGAAGAAAATTCACAGAAAGACAGGCCTCAATAATACCAAAAGTGATGCACTCTTCATGGAAATGGTTATCTATACTAACACAAACATTTTACATAATCCAGCACCTCATAGAAAAGAAGGGTTGGAAGGGATCTTCAATGGTCATCTAGTCTAACCTGGCCCTCAGAGGCAGAATCATCCCTATTCAAACCTATATAAATTCACTGTCCAATGAAACCATTAAATGTTCTTTCCATCACTGTAGTGGTAAAGAGAAAGTCTCCAATACACACTAAATGTTTAAGGGATTTTTGTAAAGCGAACAAAGCCTGCATTAGAAAAACTACCTGTTTCCTCCACAGATTTTAGGAAAAAGGGGAAAAAGAAAACAGTTCAAATAAAAGCTCAACATGGCTTACCTCTGAGGCTCTGTCCCCAAACTGAGCTAGCACTTTGGTCCTGTAATCAGGAATGATGCTCAAAGGATTGTTGGATAATACCACCTTCTCTAGGCATGGAAGGCTTCCTATATTCCTTATTTCATCAATCTGAAAATGTATGCATATACATACAAGTGTCAAATCAGAATTCTTTGAAAGCAATTGTATACATTGTATATAGACTAAAGTATTTCTTGTAAAAACTGCATTAATTACAAAAATAGAAAAGCCTGTTATGTGCATTGTCATTTATTTCATATTCCACTGAAGACAACAGCTCATAATTAAAAGCTCTTAAAATGAACCTATTTGCAACAAAAGTTAAGGAGGTACCTGTTCTATTTTGTTGTTACTAAGATCCAAGTTGACGAGAGAGTATAGTTTGTTAAGGCCACACAGCCTTTCCAGGAGGTTTCCTGCTAAATTCAAAGTTTTGATGTTTCCAAGTTTTATATGAACACCTTCTAATGATATAAGCTTGTTGTAGGACAGGTCCAGATGAACAAGGTTGTAGAGATGCTACACAGGAAAATAATAGCAACATGATATGCCAGTTTAGTAAGATTAAAATATGCCTTGCATAAAACTTGGCCAAGAGCCTTAGCATAGTGTTTTATACTGCACTGTAGCCAGTACCCTTGTCAGGGAATTATTTATCCTTATAGGTCTAAGTGGAAAAGAAGAAATCATTCTGGTTCAGTTTTAAAGACCCATAACTGTATAGCTTCTAGCTGGCAGCAGAAGGCACAGCACTGAAATACTATAAAACCCATATTTAAAAAAAGTGACCATAAATAAAACAAAAACAACTTTGAAATACTTCATGTTATGCTGGTACCCTCCAGCAGAGCACAACAGGAAGGTGATTATTCCATCAGCATTTCACTTCCCCCACTCTAAAGTCCGGAGATAGCTCCCTCTGTGACATGCATCTAATTCTACTGTTTTGGGATCAGACTCTGCCCTGCAGCCTTCACTCTAAAATGGTGAGCTGACTTCACCATTTTAGAGCTAGGCATGCCATGACCATCATTTTCTGGACAGCCACCATTGGTTTCTCAAGTGCTGCCCAGGCCTTGCAGATGGTATGCAAGATGCAGGCTGAAGCTAACTCTGTCAGCGACTGTTGGCTAGCAGCCAGGTGCACTGCCCCAGAATGCCTTTCTTTTGTGGTCTGAAGTACCTCAAAGCAGATTTCTGTTTCAACACCCGCCTAGATAGTAGCTGAACAACTCCTTCCTGACAGTTTCCAGTGCAGGGCTTGGTTCATAAACCATGGTAGGAGCAGGTAGGCTGGATCTCCAAGCAGCAGTGCTGGAGACAGCCACTCCTTCCAGTTCTGTACTGGCAGCGCTACGAGCAAACACTTCCAGCATCATGAGGGAAACTTGGAGATCCCAGACCTTGCCAAACCATCTTGTAATCATGTGGGTGAGCTGTCCATTGTGGTCTATGATGCCATGCAGTCCCACAGAGAAGCAGCCACAGCAGTTGATGTCTTCTGAGCCATAGTGCATCAGGTGCAAGGTAAGAACATGCATGCCCAACAGCCCCGATGAGCTCGGAATTGTCATTTTGGCAAAATCCTGCTTTGACCTCCTGGGGGGTTGGTGTAGCAGAGATACCAGCACCTTCTGGATGATGTGTGGTATACCTCCCAGATAGTTGATTTGGCTGTGGATTCACCCATGCCTAACAGGTTTGCAACATACAAGATGCTTTTGGAGCTTGCCAATTTTCAAATAGCAATTGCCACACACTTTAATGGTCATGGACCCTTTCATGTTAGAGGACTGCCCCTGGAGTGACATAGCCAGTTCAGCAGAGATCTCTGCAAAGGTGATCAAGGTCATTGTGGGAGCTTGTCTCCCACTGTCCTGAAGAACACAGGATGGGAAACAAATGGGGAAGCAGCACTGGACACCAGGGATAAAGATGGCCTGGGAAGAGCCAACAGAGTCTCCGACGTTTTGGAGAGAGCCCGGCAGCATCAAAGGAGCAGCAGCCAAACCCAACGCCGCTCAAGCCACACCTTAAGAGCATGTGCTGGGTGCATATGAGTGGGCATCTGGCCACTTCTGGTATAACCAGAAGCCCCACACCGGCCCCAACAGAAAGCCAGCATGCCAGGGAAAGCTGGCAGCCAGCTGAGAGCCAGCATGCTGGAGAAAGCCGGCACACTGGGGAGAGCCAGCATTTAGCTGAGAGCCAGCACGCCGGGAAAGCTGGCATGCCAGGAAAAGCCAGCACCCTGCTGAAGATAGCTGGCTTGGAGGCGAAGACTGGCCAAGTTTAAAGAGCCAGCCACAGAGGAAGAGCCGAAGGAAACTTTCAGAAGTCTGGACATTCAAAGGAGTATCTAGCAACGGCGGCACAGGAATGAGATCCCCAGACAGAAACAAGCAAATGATAGAGGTACAAGAATGGTGAAAGAGTCTCAAAATCCTGAGTGAGGGTGCCCAAAAGGCGAAAACAGAAGAGCGATGCATGGGTGTGGACGCAGAAAGAGTCATCAGTCTTCAGTGAAGCCCCAATTGACTGGGAGAAACTTTCACACCTGTAAGTGTTCTATGCTACTCGGATGTAGTATACAGTCATCCTAAAATTCTGCAGCCACTTGTTATTCCAAGACCTCAGGTCTATACATTCCCACCAGCTGGCACTTGCAGTCTGGCAGCTGGCAATGAACAGTCTGCAGATGGCTCCATAAAAAGCCATCTTCTATAGCCTTATTTCTTCCTTCTCTAGCATGTAGCTCACAAAAGCACAAAGTACATATGGTAAAATGTCTTTTAGTGCCAAGTTCGGGGCGGGCAATAATTTTGGCTGGAGGGTTGAGCTGTCAAGGGCCGCACTGGTAGCCCCATCCCTTGACAATTGCCTTGCCCCCGGTCGCTATATTGGGACTGGAAGTCCTACCCCCTAGCTTCTGACCCCCTAACTGGAAGTCCCTCCCCTTGCCCACATGGGATACTCCTTTTGGAAAGGGGCGTTGCCATCTTAGAACCAGAAAAAAAAACCAAATCATATACTAAAAGTCAAACACCTACTAAAACATATTGTAATTTTATTACAAAACATAGCTGTCATGATTTGTGTCTGTGTGCTGCATATAGAAAGGACTGCATAATGTTATGCATAACAACTCAAAAATAAAGTCTTGCTCTTAGATTGTGTGTGGGAGGGGTGTGGGGGTGAGTACATGGTGGGGTATAAGGGGGAGTGACTGTGTGCAGGTGATATAGGGTATGTTGGAATGTGTCTATGTTGGTGGGGGTTGTGGGGGCAGGGTGTGGGGTGTGATGACCCCCCCACACAGACCAGGAAGTCCCCACTGCTGGCAGCAGCAGCAGGCAGTGGGGCTCAGGGAGCTCATGCCAGGTGCATGGCGAGGTGAGGCTCCCGAGAGCGCTGCGCATGGGGGGAGGAGCACAGCCTACCTGGCCATCTTTATCATGGGGACTCTACTCCATCCACTCCTGGTCCATGAACCTGCGCGGCATGGGGCGGGGAAGGCAGCCAGCTCCAGTTTGTGGCTTCCCACACTGCGAGTACAGGAGCTTCAGGCATGCTGCTATAGAGGAGGAAGCTGGGAACCACAGGGGCTGGGCTGGCTTCTGCCATGTTCTGTGGTCCCAATATTGCAGCCAGGAATCAAGCAGCATGGCATGGAGCCAGCCAGCACAGCTGGACACTTCTCAGCTGCTTGCTGTTCCTGGCTGCAATGCTGGAACTACAGAACTTGGCAGGAGACAGCCAGCTTCTGTGGTTCCCAGCTGGGTCCTGCTTCCACCAGCTCTGATCCCTGGGGACCCGCACTCCCACCATGTGCCACTTCCTCCCCTCCATCCCCACTCCTCCCCTCCATCCCCACTCCTTGTTCCCTGAAGCTCTCCTTCCTTCCCTACCCACTGGCACCACTGCCCCCCCCGCCTGCCACTCCCCACCTACAACTCCAGCACCACATGGTTCCAGCTGCAGGGCCAGGACTGTGCGGCACAGGAGGAGCCAGCCCAGTCCAGCTGGCACCACACAGTTACCATCTGACAGCTACAGAGTGCTGGCTGAGCATGGCTGCCTCCTGCCATGCTGGCAATCCTTCTCCTCCGCCTCCGCACATTTGCACCCATTTCCCTCTCGGGTGAAGAGAGGTGGGGAACAGCCCCAGGGTCGCAGGCCAAAAGCCTTTGCTAAGGCAGAAGCTGGGGTGGGGGTGG